TCTCTGTCTTTCTGGCGAGCACATGCGCCCTGTAACAAAAACCTCTCCAAAAAAGAAAAATAATAAAGAATCAAACAAAAATACAAAAAGCCAGCTTCTTAAATATTTTTTAAAAACTGGAGGGCTGTTCCCATAGCCTAGTGGTAAGGGAGCCAGATCTCACATAGCTAATTGAGGTTGGCATCCTGGCACTGGTAGCTTGAAAAACACACAGGGCTCATGTGCATGCAAAATTCTGACAGCACAAAACAGAAAAGGGACTGCGGTGTGACTACACCCCACTGGGGAGGTTCACTTTCTCTCTGTTTCTGCTACTGGTGAGTACATATGCCTTCTGGCAATTGAAAAAAATTAGAAACAAAACCAAAATATACAATGGTATCTCATCTGTACCATGAAATACATAGTAGACATTAAAGTGATGATAAGGAGTTTTAAGTGAAAAAAAGAGAAATGCACAATATGGAAATTAGATTATAAAATACTATATATAATCTCACTTCTGAAAATAAATGTGGTGTATAAAACACATTCATTTAAAATGTCAGGATTCATCCAGCAAGTGGTGTAGTGGTTAAGGAGCTGGGCTCCTATGTGATCAACCACAGTTTGAGACCGAAATCCCGCAGCTTGAAACTCACACTGGGTAAGTGAGTGTGAATGCTCAAAATTACAAGAGGAAAATGAAGAAAAAGGGGCTGAGGTGTGGCTATCCCCTTGGGGGGGGGGGGGGAGGCGATTTCTCTCTCTGTCTCTCTCTCCGGTATATAGCAAATATTTCTCAAAACAAACAAATAAACAAACAAGCAAAAGTTAGGATTAGAAATTGATAAACTTTTGGGACCAGCAGTTAGCATAATGGCTATGTTGCTGAACTCCCATGTAGTTGACCGTGGTTCAAGTCCTGGACCCAATGGCTTAAACTCACGCAGGGCACATGTGCATGTGTGCCCAAGATCCTGAGAGGAGAATGGAGGAGAACAGATTGCGGTGTGGCCATCTGCCCTGGGGATGATTTCTCACTTTCTGTCTCTCTGGCGAGTGCACGTGCCCTATAGCAAAAACCTCTACCCCCCCCCAAAAAAAAGTTGACAAACTTTTAACATGAAGGGTCAGAGTAAGAGTATTTTTGGCTTGTAGGTCACATGGTCAATCCAACAACTTGCTCAATTATGACCTTGTGCAAAGGTAGCCACAGATAATATGTAAACCAATTAAACATGGCTGGATCCCACTAAAAGATCATACAATTTTTATAAATCATGCAACAGTCCACACAAAATCAGGTCTAGGCTGAGGGCCACTGTTTGCCAACCCCCTGACTATGCAATATATTGGGGAATTTGATAGTTTGTGGAAAAATGGAACTAAAGTATGAGCTTATTCTGGTGCAAAAAAAAATTTTTTTTTTTTGGAGCTTTTGGCTATAGGGCGCGTGCGCTCACCAGACAGAGAGAGACAGAGAGACAGAAAGTGAGAAATCACCCCCCAGGGGGGATGGCCACACGGCAATCCCTTCTCCATTCTCCTCTAGGGATCTTGGGCAAACACGCACACGTGCCCGGCGTGAGTTTTAAGCCACCGGGTCCAGGACACGAACCACGGTCGACTATGTGGGAGTCCAGTGACATAGCCATTATGCTAACTGCTGGTCCTGTGCCAAAATTTTTTGAAATTCATGTAGCTTTTTCATAATATACATTTTCCATGAAATTTAAAAGACCCCTTATGAGATTACAGTGTCATTTTTTAGAATTTGAATTATGTAACTTCTATTAATAGTACATAATAAAAATGTTAAAGGGGGGCAGCAGGTGTTGTAGTGGTTAAAGGCCCTGGACTCCCACATTATCAACCACGGTTCAAGCCCTGGACCCAGTAGCTTGCAACTCACACCAGGCACATGTGCGTGCGGGGGTGCAGGTGTGTGTGCGTGCCCAAAATCCCAAGAGAATGGAAAAGGGACTGTGGTGTGGCTACCCCCCCCCGGGGGGGGTGACTTCTCATTGTCACTCTGTCTCTCTCTGGGCAGTGCATGCACTGTATAGCAAAAATCTTTCTTAAAAAAAGTTAAAGAATAACTGAGTAGGTAATTAACATTTCAAAAGCAGGAGTACAGTAAGATTCATTATGAAGATTGTTCAATAAAACAAATCTGTGGAAACTAAAGTTTACCAGCATTTCAGAACCTACTGTGTCACAATGACATTTTTTTTTATTTTTAGAGATTTTTTTTTTTTTTTTTTTTTTTGCTATAGGCCACATGTGCACACTGGAGAGACAGAAAGGGCAAGAAAGACAGAAGGCAAGAAATCACCCTTTTTTGGGGGATGGCCACACTGCAATCCCTTCTCCATTGTCCTCTCAGGATTTTGGGCATGCACACATTCCTGGCATGAGTCTTAAGCTACTGGGTCTGAGACTCGGAGTACAGCATGTAACCATTATGCCATCTGTTAGTCTCCCGCAATGACCTTTTGTCTCTTTTTTAGGTTATTTTTGTTCTCCATTCCTTTCTTTATATCATTAAGCTAACCAGTTACCCACATCTATTTTCTTTATAGATGAACATGTTTATCTATCTTTAGATGATGAACATCAGGTCGACCCACTAATCTTTCATATCTGAGGTGAAACCATCTTCTAAGTGCTAGCTATCTTCCTACGAGATGGTTTTGATCATGTCACCTTGCTCATTAAGTTCAAATTCCTTAGACGTGGTATTTAAGTTCCTTTAAAAGCAAGTCTGACCTTACTTCTGGACTTCTGAATTATGTCCCTACAGTAGGAATCCTAAAAAATAATTTAACAAACCTTCTTTACAGCCCTCTGATTAAGCCCAGCTATCTCTAATTCTTTATTCCTCTAACAAATACTATTTGGATAAAGATGCTGTCACAAAAGTAGTATAAGATTGGGAAGATGAAGAATACAGATAAAATATCCAGTATAATTATCTAGTATATGCCAAGAGCTAACTAAACTAGTGTAGACTACTCACTGATGTACTTTCCCTTTTCCTTTCTCATTTTAACTGTCCTAAAAATAGTATTCCTTTTTTAAAATATTTATTAAATTTTATTTATTACTATTTTTTCTTTTTTAAATTTGCTATAGGGTTTGTTAGCACCAGAGTGAGAAAGAGAAAAGAGATATATATATATATATATATATATAAAAATTTTTTTAATTTGCTAGTTGGTGTGTGTACGCTCACTATACAGAGAGAGAGAGGGAGAGAGAGAGAGAGGGAGAGAGAGAGAGAAAATGAACATCTCCCTCCATGGAGGCTAGTTAGGTGGTTTTCTCCTCCATTTCTTCTTCCGCTCTTGGGATTTTGGACTGGCAAATACACGTGCCCAGTGTTTTTCAAGCCTCTCGGTCCCCAGGCACCAACCCTAGTCGGTAATATGGGAACCCAGTTGCCTTAACTATCAGACTACTGGCTGGCCTGAGAATAAAATGTTTTAACATTTCCATTTGTTGAGCTACATTTATATAGTTTGTTCAAATCTACCTTCCACTGTACTAGTCTTTTGCTATTTCAAAGAAGCAATTCTATTTCTTTCACTACAGTTTTGTACAAAAACATCAAATCTAACACCTACTTACTTCACAGGGAATAAGTGAAAACAATTGCACAGTATTTTATATATATTAAAAAAACAGACATTATCAATACAAAAGCAGTAATACTACTTACTGCCAAGATTACTTGTAACTTTTGATTTCAACTATTTTTGAAAACACAAGCACAAGATAGTGAAAGTGCATTGTCAGAAAACTGCCCACAGTTTTATAGCAGAGACCATAATAAATTAGCAGTATCTACATTTTAATATGTGCCTTACTGTATTCATTTCATAGCTAGAAAGCAAATGATTAGAAAGGTAGTATGGGGACCAGCAGTTGGCGTAGTGGCTATGCTGCTGGACTCCCATTCGCCTGCGGTTTGAGTCCCGAACCCAGTGGCTTAAACTCAAGCCAGAGAAGGGACTGCGGCGTGGCCATCCCCCCTGGGGGGGGGTGATTTCTCCCTTTCTGTCTCTCTGCTTCTGTCTGGCGCACACGCCCTATAGTAAAAACCTCTCAAAAAAGGAAATAAAGGTAGTATGATTGTGAACCTAACAGAGGCTACAAATATGTGAAAGAGATGAACTAATAAAGATGTCTGGGACTTATTTCAAAATAACCCGAGGAAGGGGAGGAGACTGGTCAGGTATTGGACATTACTGAAACTGGGTAATGTGGCCACTTGAGTTCTTTATATGACTCGCTCAACTTCTCTATAGTTTGAAGATCTCCATAATAAAAAGTTTTTTCCAGTGCTCAAAGGCTTCTCGAGGGCTTCAGTGCTAACCCGGCCACAGGTAGGGAAGTCACACTGGAAAGTCTGGGAGGCGAAAAGTGACAGAGCAACCCAGGCCAGGTGAGGTTGGGCAAACCTCCCGGTGCACTCCGCCTTCCGGAACCCCCGAGGCCCAGCTGGAGCTGCACCCAAGCAGTCGGCTCCCGGAGTCCCAAGAAAGGGAACACCACCCTAGGGAACCGCCGCCTGGCGGCCTGCGCGGGGACTGGGGCTGTGAAAGGCTGGCCTCGACGGGGGAGAGGGCAGGAGAGATCGGGGTAGAACGGAGGGTGGGCGCGCCCCAGCTTTCCGTACCCGCCGGCCGCCTTCCCGGCAACTCCGCCCAGGCTCCAGACCCACGAGGACCCTCGCCCGGCTGCCCCAGCACGTCTCCGCCTTCCTTCGGCCGCCGCGCCAACA